GTGTGTGTGTGTGTGTGTGTGTGTGTGTGTGTGTGTGTGTGTGTGTGTGTGTGTGTGTGTGTGTGTGTGTGTGTGTGTGTGTGTGTGTGTGTCGTGGTTTGCCTCTGGCTTTGTCACCGTCTCTCACTGACATATCAGTTTCTATTTTTGACTCACTCGGAGAATAATGCACAGAAAATAGAACACCTTACAAAGCAGCCAGTACCAGCGTGCCCAAAAAAAGATTTCATCACACTCTTTCTTTTTGTTAAAAAAGATGAAACAATACCGTAACATGCGTTTGACTAACCAGAGAGAGTCGTCTGAGAGTTTAACATCGAAAAAAATCAACCGAGCTCCCCAGAGTCGTCGCTTATCGACGAAAGGATCAGATCCACTGCTGTTACACTTCATTTCCTGGCACAACAATTAGTTTCTTTCTTTCAGCAGTGACTCAAACACTCACAGCAAGATTTAGATTTTAATCAGCGGTTCATAATGTAGTTAGTACTATTATTACTACTGCAGTTTTCTAGCATTAAAGGTACCGTCTATGAAAATAATCATTGGGTAAAAACTTTTACCAAAGGTTTGAGATTCTTTGCGTGGGTTGAGTGTAAATGTTGCACTTTTTACTCCTGTGAGTTAAAATGACATTTGCAGTTAACATAAGCTGCTTCCAAACATGGCTGCGCAACATTATGATCCATAGGAATATCAGAGACCAAGTCAGTGTAGCATCACAACCTGTAACACAAGTTCAACACAGGTCCTTGTGAATATTGGTAAAACTTTCAATACGTGAAGTATCGAAGTTATTATTATATGTGCAGTTAAGTTCTGTGTGAAATATCTGATCATGCTAACCTTACTGACACTATTTGATCTGTTAAGGTGATGTATTCTGCTTTTGTTAGTGCATCTAAATTCTTCCTGTTCCATATGATCAGTCTTAATGCTCATATATCAGTGTGCAAAAACTTGGCAGATAATGGGTGTGTGGATATTTAGCAACTAATCTCTGCACAACAACTAGTAGATGTAGTACGAACAGTTTTAGTGATGCATGAATCTCCCCTAACTTAACATTTACATGATACATATATAGGCTTACATTTGAACTCACAAAGAGCTGGTGCAACTGGCTCCTGGAGCAGTGCATCCAAAATGTCACCTGACTAGAGGATGTGTTCAGTTTTATTTAAAATGCCTTCACAGTTACTGAAGTATCAGCTCAAGACATTTGGAACTGGAGCAATTGTCAATACACGCCCTCGCTCCTCTGCACATTTCCCACAGGCACAACAACGTGCACATGAACACTCTACATGTGCTGTGCATTCTCTCAGCACAGAGACAATGGCAGCAATATGGTTAAAATATTAGATTAGAGAAAAAGCTGAACATCAGGCATCCGAAGGGACAAAGCAAACAGAGAGAGCAGAATGAATGGCTGTGGCTTTCTGTTTCTTGCAGATAAAACTGCATCTTTTTTTTCTTCTCTCATGCATGTCCTCTTTCCTCGGTCCCTCTCCCTCTTCTCTTCCTCCAGATCTCGTCTCTTCCTCTCCTCCTCTCCCTCTGTCTGTCTGCCTGACCCTGCAGATATGTGAGGCGATGCACAGCGAATGAATTAGCAGAGCAGACGACTCAGACAGCCCTTTATGGAACAGACAGGCAGGCAGGCAGGCAGGCTGAGTGCAACGCCACGGAGAGGGAAGAAACAAGAGGAAGAGGGTGAATGAAAGGGAAGGGTAACGCAGAGGTGATGAAACTATAGGAGCAAATGAGTGGGATGAAAGAACAGACAGGTGGGTGAGGATGCGAGAAAAATAGGAAGGAAAGATGGAAAAAGAGCGGAGCACACTTGAAAGGCGAATGAGGAGGGGAGGGTGTGAATGGTGGGGGAGGGAGGAGAGAGAAAAAGAGAGTGATGAGACTGGGAAGATGAAGACACTGAGAGAAATAGCGGGGAAGCCTGGGAGAATGTGCGATGAGCTCAGGGAAAGGAGGGGAGGGGAGGTGTTGGGAGAGAGGGAGAGAAAAAAGGAGGAGGAGGCGGCGATGAGAAGGAGGTCATCAGCGGTCTGTTTCTGCCTGCATTTTGTGAGCCCCCTTCTGAAATATTCAGGGGAGAAGCACACACGAGGGGGGGCTCACTTCGGAAACCGCCAGCGAAACACAACGCAAGATGGGAGCACATGTCTGGCAGCGTATTTAACAGTGTGTGAAGCTCACAAGTGGTGAACATGGCTCTGGATGAGGAGAGGCACTTTCTGTACAACGCACAACAACACCCCTGCAGCATCAGCTCTACAATGACACACACACACACACACACACAGTTTCTTCGCCAAGCATCCGTCTTCATTTTGGAAAATTATAAGTAAAAATGATGAAAGTGGTAATAGAAGCATATTGAGAATGATGACGACGGTGGTGATAGTCCTATTGATGCCTGCTGCTGGCGACAATTATAATAAATAGATCAGTGATGATGGTGATGGTGATGGTGAGGATGATGATGATGATGATGATGATGATGATGAAGATGAAGGGTGCAGGCACTTATACGGACGGTAATGATGGTGATAATGAGGTCAAAGTGAGCGCTGCAAAGAAACAAGAAAAGGGGAGGATGCAGGCAGCAGAACTGGCAGAGCAGCGAGCAAGATGCAGCAGTGCAGCGCAACCACAGGGTGGAAGGTTTCCTCTGAACGTCTCCTGAGATCATACAAAAGCACGCAGCGCAGACCCAAACACACACACACACACACACACACACACAAAACACCAGCCACTTGTGTCTTACAACAATTTTCTGGATTACACAATGAACAGTAAAACTTTAACGTACAGGTTAAAGGCTCAGATGTAGACCTGGGGGGGTCTGTGCAGCCTCTTTATTGTGAAATAACTGCTCACAGGGTGCTAATTATAGCCTCCACTTCCTGTCATGATATACAGTAGATCACTGTCATGAAAACCACAGATCCTTCATGTGAAATAATAATAAGTTTATTATTTCATTTATAGTCTTATTTCAGCTTTTAAAATTTGCTGTTTCTCATTCACGATTCTTCAACATCGCCACGTGTAAATTAAATCCAAAAAAGGGAAACGTGTAGAGTATTGTCGAGTATTACAGTGACCCTGACAACACACCGGTTTGTCTTGTGAAGATGACTGAGTGGATCAATGTCTTCAATGTGTCATCATCAGTTTCATTTAAGAAAGTATTTTATTACACAAACAATCCATCCATCATCTATAGCCTGTTGACTTTATAACAATGTTTGATGAAAAACTCTTGGGTCGCAGCACTGCTACTCTGAGTTTGAGCTTTAAAAAGAAGTGTAACCTGATTTCAGTTTGGCAAGGTTGCAATAGCCTGTTGTGGTTGCACCCTGTGTTTTGCCTCTGGATAAAGGGATGGGGCATTTCAGTTATGTTTCAGGTACATTTTCGACTGCCATATACAAAGCATAGGCCGGACAACTTTTGAGAGGCTGAGTATGAATAAAATATGTTGAGGTGTACTGGGAGATTCTTTTACAACAATGTATTTGTTGGAATTATTCAACATCCAGTTATCGGTTACCAGTAAAAAAGTTGATGTTAAGTGCAGATGACGTTTTTGAGTATTCTGGCTGCATGTAGACATACTGATAGTACTATACGCCTGCCACATGTGCAGTACATTTTCATGTTAGTGTTTCAGTCGTTTCCCTCATGCACAATAACAAAGAAATATTTCTAAAGTTGTATTTCCTCAGTGCTTCACCCGAGTATTTAGATTTAGAGATCTACAACATGCACACTACATATGACATAACGTGGTTGGAACCATAGTCTGTATATAAAGACGATATAAAGATGACAGCTCCACAAAAGTGAAGCCAATTAATCTTTTTTGCCCCCTGGTGGCTGGCTGCAGTATACAGAGTCATTTTAAAGACCATAGTGGAAGGAATTTAAGACCTATGTCAAGAATGACAGATTTGAAGGATTATCAGAATTACTTTCCCCTCCCTATAATTGTTACAGAAGATGGTAGAAAAAAAAACTTGAAATGCCACGTTATCTTTCAAACTAAAGTCAGTGTTTTTCCTCCAATCAAGCTGAGTGTACTCAGTAGGACCTAAGACTTGGTGCATA